ACTCCTTTTGAACTTTGGGTTATCCAGAAAAATCGAAAGGGTATAGATTTTACTGTCCTTATCATACTACAAGGATTATTGAATCTGGAAATGCAAGGTTCATTGAGAATGGTGAAGTTAGTGGGAGTGAAACACCACGTAAAGTGGATATTCATGAAGTAAGAGTACAAGTTCCATTACCTTGTAGCTCTAGTAAAGTTATTGTTCCTTATGCTATTAAACCAATCAATAATAATGAAGGACAAGTTAATGATCCCACTATTCATGAAGAAATCATTGTTGATGAACCGAATGAACCCATAGTAGAAGAACCACAACAAATAGCATTAAGAAGATCTCAAAGAGAAAAGAGACCTGCTATTTCTAATGATTATGTGGTATATCTACAAGAGTCTGAATTTGACATGGGTATTCAGGATGATCCAGTAACGTTTTCACAAGCCATGAATGGAGAAAATGGTGATAAATGGTTAGATGCTATGAAAGATGAGTTGAAATCTATGGAACAGAATAAGGTCTGGGATCTTGTTGAGTTACCAGAAGGGTGCAAGAGAGTTGGTTGTAAATGGGTCTTTAAGACCAAACGTGACTCTCATGGTAACTTGGAACGTTACAAGGCCAGACTAGTTGCAAAAGGATTCACTCAGAAAGATGGCATTGACTATAAAGAAACTTTTTCACCAGTTTCAAAGAAGGATTCTTTAAGAATTATTATGGCATTGGTGGCTCATTATGATCTAGAGTTACACCAAATGGATGTGAAAACTGCCTTTCTAAATGGAAATTTAGATGAAGATGTGTACATGGACCAACCAATGGGGTTCATAGAAAAAGGTAAAGAGCACATGGTGTGCAAACTTAAGAAGTCAATATACGGACTTAAACAAGCTTCACGGCAATGGTACCTTAAGTTCAATGATACCGTTGTTTCCTTTGGATTTAAAGAAAACATTGTTGATCGATGTATATATCTGAAGATCAGTGGGAGCAAGTTTATCTTATTGATTCTGTATGTTGATGATATTTTGCTGGCAACTAACGATCTTGGTCTTTTAAATGAGACTAAGAAGTTTCTCTCTAGTAACTTTGAAATGAAAGATATGGGTGAGGCAGCTTATGTGATAGGAATAGAAATATTCCGTGATAGATCACAAGGACTGTTAGGTTTGTCTCAGAAAGCATATATTAATAGAGTTCTAGAGAGATTCAGAATGGAAAACTGCTCATCATCTCCAGTTCCAATTCAGAAAGGAGATGAGTTTAGTCTCATGCAATGTCGTAAAAGTGAATTGGAACGAAAAGAAATGGAGGCAATTCTGTATGCATCATTAGTTGAGAGTTTAATGTATGCTCAGACTTGTACGAGACCAGATATTAGCTTTGCAGTTGGGATGTTGGGTAGATACCAAAGTAATCCCGGTATGGATCACTGGAAAGCAGCAAAGAAAGTTCTGAGATATTTGCAAGGAACTAAAGGTCACATGCTTACTTATAGAAGGTCTAGCAACCTTGAAGTGATTGGATACACAGATTCAGATTTTGCAGGATGCGTAGACACAAGAAAGTCTACATGTGGTTACATGTATCTTTTAGCTGAAGGAGCTATATCATGGAAAAGTGCGAAGCAGACTGTAATTGCTGCGTCCACTATGGAAGCTGAATTTGTGGCATGCTTTGAAGCCACGATTCAGGCTAAATGGCTACGGAACTTTATTTCAGGGCTTGGATTGGTCGACAATATTGAAAAGCCGCTGAAAATTTATTGTGATAATTCCGCAGCAGTCTTCTTTTCTAAAAACGACAAATATTCCAAAGGTGCTAAACATATGGAATTAAAGTACTTTGTCGTTAAAGAAGAGGTTCAGAAACAAAGAGTGTCTATAGAGCATATTAGCACCGATCGTATGATAGCTGATCCCTTGACGAAGGGATTACCGCCTAAGACATTTACTGGTCATGTATGTAGAATGGGCATTATGTCAGCTAATGAATAATGATAATTAGTGTTATGTATTAAGTGTTGACACTCTGAGCTCATTGATGAATATATGTTTCTGTTATTGTCTTATTTTCAATTTATGAATGCATGCAAGTATATGTGATGATATTGAAAATATTTGTGATCCATTATGAAGACATTATTGTTGGACATAATGGGTACTTCCTATTAAAGTATCATGTTAGGAAGAAGAGTCAATATAGTAGTACATGGAAGGGACTATGCCGACTTGATAGCATACAACCGCCATGACTCTTGTTGATTTTAATTTCTAATAATGAATTATGATGAAGTCAACGTATAGAACCTTTAGCCTAATAAATGCGCATTATAATGAATGTTGATTAAATCATGAAGGGACACCTCATGACATGAGCCAAGTGGGAGAATGTAAAACTATTTGTCTCATGTGTAATATTATGTGTCAGTTGGTTTAATTAATAAATGGGGCATAACGGTAATTGACGGTTTAAGGGAGTTGGGAAGTTATTTATGAATAAATAACTGGTGACAGGTTCAGTTATTATAAGAGTTTTTGGTAGTTTTCTGAGAACAGTATCTTCAGAGAAACTCTCCTTCATTGTCTGCCCATCATAGTTGTATCCAATCATTGTCAAAGAAGATACAAGTAGGAAAAATGGTCAAGACTCTGAGAAAGGCATTCCACCATCAAAGTTCTTCCGCACTAATGGAGAAATGTACACCCTTATGTGAAAACCATGAATTCTAAAGATCATGTATCATGTTCTTGAATGAGCATTGTTGAACATGTATTACTGATTTACTGATGAAATTACTTACAAGCTATAGCCCAAAAAGATACCTACCTTTGTAAGAATTAAGGGTGTTATGACACGCAAACATGGCAAAAAAATGTTGTGTTCATGATGATTGAAAAGTGACCCAAAAAGAATTGTGTTATTCGTGGTAGGGATATTCATATTCGCAATTGACCTGTTTAAATAATTTTTATTCAAAAATCAAAATTTAATATATTATTCATATTGTGTTGTGTCAAGCCAAATAGTAAATGAATTATGATGAGCCTTGTGAAATTTGTAAACTACATATACAACAATTACCCAAAAATATGAGTTTGCTTGAAAACTCCTAAAGAATGGAGGGTTGGGGGCTAAGTGGTTTGATATGTGTCTTTGGGATATTACAGAGAAAATGTTATCATGAATGAGTTCGTAAATGGAAGAAAATAAGAGTTTTGTTAAAATTCTTCAACGAATGATATATCATTGACTTGGACATTAATGATTTTCAAGGAAGTGATATTTCCATATTTTATTTGATCTTCATTCCCATGATGAGGAGTGGACATGTTTTTTTCCTCCGCATGAGAACTATCTTGTGACCCAATCAGTAACTTTCACTTCTTTTCACTATATTCTTTCTCCCACCATTTAAATTTCTTAGCGAAATAAACAGGTTTTAAAAATTATTTCCAAAAGTAATAAAATGCTAAACAAACATATTTTAAAATTTACCCGAGAATAATATTAGTTGCAATAGTACTTTTAAGAATTTATAAGAATATACTCATTGCCTTGAAATAAACTCGTCTCCTTAATTAAATACTCGTAGCCTCGTAGGTTAGGCCTTAAACATGGTCAAAACGAACCCTCTCTTGAGTTTATATCCCCGTGGCCCACAAAATTGAGTTGACCCATCGATAAGCCATTTCGAAATTGGTGTATTACCAACACCCAATTTAATGAAAGGGTCATGCCAATTGAATAACCCATTGTCTAACCCCCATTGCACCGAATGGTAGATACGAGTTTAATGTTTGTTATACTATTGAAAATAAAATTATCTTTTATATATATATAAAAAGGGAATAATATTTGTCATTTTAAAGGATATAGGCTTATATCATTTTAGATCCTAATCGTTGATTTATGTCCATCAACGATTATAATTTATTGGATTAAAATTATTAATTAAATAATAATAAATTTGGCTCACTAAGTTTGACCCAACAAATTATAACCGTTGATGGAACGGAAATCAACGGTTAGAATCTAAAATGATATAAGTTTCTATCCTTTAAAAGGATAGATGTTTTTCCCATATAAAAATATGTAGAATTCATATATTCTTTTTCTCTTTATTTTTCATATGATCCCATATAAATTTCACACATTTATATATATATATATATATATATATATATATATATATATATATATATATATATGAAAAAGAAATTTTATGTTATAGGAAATTTTTAATCTAATGTCATAAATACAATAAGTGTGGACTTACCTATTTAAAAAAAACAAAAAAAGAGTGGCATAATTTTTTATGATTTATGTGGGAAGAATTGGTTTTCTTATATTACATGAGAAAAACAAAACCATATATATATATATAGTAAAATCATTTCTGCAACTTCGCTTTACGTACAACGACAGGTGTATGATTATGATTATCAACATTTAATGCTTTCATCTTTTGTATAATTATGATTACTCGCATTTAATGCTTTCACACACATATATATATATATATATATGGATTTGATTGCTGCACGTACGACTGCAGAAATGTAAAACCATATATATATATTATATATATATATATAGGATAAAAGATTTCTCCAGTCAATGAAGATAAGTTATCTCCCAGAATGATGTCGTTTTAGGACAAAAATTAAAATATTTTTTTAATTTTAATATATTATAAGATTATATTTATCTTTATCATTATAATTTTATAATTCAAAATGATATCATTCTAAATTCATTGAACATAACTTTATCTTTCAATTTCAATGACTAGAGAAATATTTTTACCACGTAAAAAGGAAATGACAATTTCAAATATAAAATAACGTTTTATGATATGATACCTACAAAATCTAAGACATAGAACCTCAAACTGAAAGCAAAATGTAGGAATGATGTTGAGTTTGAACCTGAAGACGGGCCCCACTGAATGTCATCGTGTGATAGTTGATCCAATGAAGTATGAACAGTTGAACACCCCACTTCCTCTTAACTTTCGAACCCCACTAACTCTATCTCTCTCTCTCTAAAACCATGGCAAAACCATTTCATTTCCTTCTGCTTCTCTTATCTTGCCACCTCTTCCTCCGTCGCTCCTTCGCTGCCACCGCCAACAAAATCGGCGTCAACTACGGAACCGTCGCCGACAACCTCCCGCCGCCGTCCAGGGTGGCGGCCTTTCTGAAATCCCAAACCACCATCGACCGCGTCAAGATCTTCGATGCCAACGCCGACATTCTCCGCGCCTTCGCCGACACAGGCATCGCCGTCACCGTCACCGTCGGTAACGACGACATCCCTTCCCTCTCCAAGCTACCCGCAGCACAGTCGTGGGTCTCCAACAACATCCTCCCATTTCAACCGAAAACCGCCATCAACCGCATCGCCGTCGGCAACGAAATCCTCGCGACCTCCGATAAAACCCTCATAGCCAAAATGCTACCCGCCATGAAAGCTCTTCACGAAGCTCTAAACCTCGCGAACCTCACTCACATTCAAGTCTCAACACCTCACTCTCTTGGTATATTATCAGCGTCGTATCCACCGAGTTCTGGAAGTTTCCGACGCGGCTACGACCGCGCCATCTTCGCTCCGATTCTTGATTTCCATCGCCAGACCAAGTCCCCTTTCATGGTGAACCCGTACCCGTTCTTCGGGTTCTCGCCGAACAAACCCGAGAGTCTGAACTACGCGCTGTTCAAGCCAAACGGCGGCGTTTTTGACGAAGCAACGGGGATGAACTACACCAACTTGTTTGATGCTCAGATGGACGCGGTTTACTCAGCGATGAAGAAGGTTGGTTACGAGGATGTTGAGTTAGTTGTGGCGGAAACGGGTTGGCCCTCTGCGGGTGACCCGAACCAACCGGGTGTGAGCTTGGATAATGCGGTGTCGTATAATGGGAACTTGATAAAGCATGTTAACTCTGGGAAAGGTACCCCTCTGATGCCTAACAGGACCTTTCAAACTTACATCTTCGCATTGTTCAACGAGAACCTCAAGCCCACCACTTCGGAGCGTAATTACGGGTTGTTCAAACCCGATCTCAACCCGGTTTACGACGTCGGCGTTTTGAACCCCCAACAGGTATTACTACTTACGCTTGATTTTATTTTATTTTGAAAAAAATTGTGTCATTTTATACTACGCAACTTGTGTCATTTCATAGATAAAAATAAAATATGAATCACATTTTTTTTTCAGTCGATCTATCTGTGTTTATGAAATAAATTATGTTATTTGAAATTACACAATTTTTTTTTTATTTTTTTTTATTGGTTACTCAAAAACATATTGATGCCGGCGTTTCTGAATTGCCAGCTTTTAATTCAATGCTTAGCTTCTGTTTTTGACTTTTACTTGACCAAGCAGGACAACGCATGTTTTTTCTTGGTCACAAACGGTTGGTGAATTTGCATTTGTTGTTGTATTTATTGTCCTGGAAAATAGAAGTATAGCGTTACCCCTATGATTTTCCTTTATTTGTTTGGTATCACGTATAAGGCATGATAATATAAGTTTATACTATACGTTATGACATTTTCAGTTATTTGGTGTGACCATCATATAGTATAAGCGTATACAACATAATAGTTTAATACAATAATGTATAACTTAATCCGGCCTAAGAGTGAGTGATAAGACCTGATAAGAGATTGGTGTATTAACATCGTTGAATAATGTAATTTTCAAAAATTAATATATTATTTTAATATTAATCTATTAAAATAAAAATTAATTTTTCAATATATTAATTTTTAAAATATTAAATATTTTTATTTTTATAAAAATTAATATCATATGATATTTTTTGAAGAATTATATAAATTCTTTATTAAAGGATATTTTTATTAAATATATTTATTTTTATCATATATAGTGTTATACGGTGCATTACCAAATACTAGATGATATTACCTTATACAATATATTATTTTATACAATACTGTATCAAACGCTGGATAGTATTAAAATTCAATCAGGTCTTATACAATCAGGTCTTATCCTATACTATGCACCAAACATGCCCTAAATGTAGTCTCACGAATCGGTTTCAATAGGTTAAATTTGTGGTGAGTTGGCATTTAGTGAAATTTTTTAATAATAATTAAAATCTCCTGCTTTTTGTGACATTGTGATATAGTATTGGGTAATTAGGGTCATTCGATTAATGTTATGGTAATGGGATGTTGTATAATGGTGATAATAACCAAAATAACACATTATTGGAATCAAATTATTCAAATACCAATGTTTAGAAAAAAATTTTGTCAAAATGTATCTTTCAGGACCTGTTACTGTTATCACTCCAAGCAGATTCAGATTGTCATGCCTTGCCTGTAGAAAAACTTGCTGTCGTCCAATGTGTTTCTAAATTCTAATAGCGGGTTCTTGTTCAACCTACGTGTGGCAAAATAATAACTCAATTACTTAAAAAGATATTGTCCGTTTATCTGTGTAAAATAAATACCCGATATTAGAAATAACAACGTGACAATTTTAACAATTTTTTTCTATAACAATATTTAAATAATTTATTTTTTAAAATGTGTTATTTTAATCTTTCTGCCTTGTATAATGTTGTGTACTGTTGAAGTGCAGGCACCGGATACCACGTCTGGGCCCACGGCACTAGCACCGTCTGGGCCCACAGCATTAGCACCGTCAGGGCAAAACATCAGAAAACCCGAGAGAGGTGGTTCACTCAAACGTGCCATTTCCTACACTGGATCATATGCCTTCTTATTTATTTTTCAACTTCTGATATGTCTCTTTTTTTCCTAATTTTTAATGCTTATGTTCCTATTAATATATTATGGATGTGCATTTATAAAGTGATAACCAGTGGGATTGGGTACATAACTCAACGCTGGATTATTGGCAAAATAGGAACGCAGTATAAACTAACGCATATCATTATTTGTTAGATTGATTAGCGTCACAGTCTAAAAATAAATTTAGATAATTTTATTATATCATAAAAAATCGAGTTATTTTACGTTCTGAAAAATTGTTTGAAATGACAAAGCTTCCGAGATTGAATTAAAGGAGGTAACGTAAGAAGACCAACTATAAAATTCTACTTAAAAATTCATACCTGAAATCTTGAAAAGTTGGAAAAGGGCGACATCTTTTGAGTTCCGTGGTATTAGACTATCAGTGATAGCGTGGCGGGGTTGAATTTGCTTGATTCCAAATTTGGGGCAAATCGTTAAAAGGAGGTTCGCCTTTTTCAAGCTTATTAGTAAGAAGGGGAAAAGTTGGGGAGAAAAATTAAGAAAAGGAAATGGTTCTAAGGAACATCGTGTAAATTTTTATTATTTTTATTATTATTAGTTTTTGATATACATCATTACTTTATTGTTATTCTATGTTTACACTGGTGTTTGAATTGAGGTCCAAAATTGTAATGCACCAACTACTTTTAACATGTTACACTAAAGAATTCTCAAATAAACTGAAAGATGTGTGTACATCAAGACAAGGCTAGATTTCATTAAATGAACATCTACACAAGTTAAGTACAAGGTGGTTTAAGCACCAAAACACTTGTACAAAATAAACCTTTACAAGGTTTCATAGGTATAAGTTAATTATAACTTCATGTTCAGTAAAATTGTACAATCCAAAAAATGATTTAAGCAACTAAAAGACTTCAAAATAGTGGCACACAGGATTAGGCATTTCTCGGCTCGCTGTTTTTATCATATTTTCTTGAAATGAAATTCCAATTGGGTGAGATGTGAATCCCAATAAATTATAAAATGCTAATCATGCTCATACAAATACAAATAAAAAATCAGCTAGTCGTCTATAGCTACTATATGGTCCTAAAGACCCCAAAAACTCTATTATATATGCCTATGGGTGTAAATGGGTCAGGCCAAGTCAGACTTTAGCATAAATAGGCTAAGCTCGTATAGAATATTTTAAGCCTGACCCAGCCTCTTAGCTTGCCACAAGCTAAGATATTGGCATGCGCCTGTACTGTTTTTAAAACCGCAAAGCTTGGTCTGGCCTCTGGCCTGCCAAGAAACATATTGCTAGGGATGTGCATGGGTCGAACCGAATCGATTTTTTTGAAAAATTGAACCGAATTGGTTTAAATGGTTCGGTTCAAAACTGGTTCGGTTCAGAAGTGGTTCGGTTCGGTGGGAAACGGTTCGGTTCGGAACCGGTTCGGGTCGACCCTCTTTTGAAAAGAAAAAAATTAAAAAATAAAGTTATAAAAATCAATTTGGTTTGGTTTGAAAACGGTTCGGTTCGGTTCAAAATGGTTCGGCTCTTAAACTGGTTCTAAAAATCGGTTCGGTTCTTAAACCGATTCGGTTCATGAACTGGTTCTTTAAAAACCGGTTATTTTAAGGGGCGGTTCGGTTCGGTTCATGGTTCGGTTCAGTTTTTTGGTTATTTTGCACACCCCTACATATTGCAGATATTCTATATTTAGATCTTTTCATACTTTTTGCAATAGTGCAAATTATTAAAATTTATCATAGATAGTGAATTTTAATTGAAACCAATAACGATGGTCTAAAAATACTCAAAATAAAATGTTGGAGTTAGGTGATCAAAGATTCAGAGTACAACCACAAAAATTGAAATGGAAGCTGATGAACAATAGCGCAGCTGTCAATGATGAGCGTGGTTACTGGTTGTGTTGGGGGGACCAAACATAATAACCTCCAAAAAAGGGAAATCAGATTTGTGCTCTAGAGAGCTCCATACCAAATCTGTGCTCTAGAGAGCACCAAACCACAAAATGACCGGTAAGTATGAGCTACTACACACCACGAACACTCCCCTAAAATTTGAGCTTATTCCGATGAAGTATCACTGCACCGCACCAGAGCCTCTTCCCTTATTCTTCTCCTCTGCGCGACGCTTCTGTCTTAGTCTCTCTTTTTTCTTTCTTCCTTACTTATTTTGTTCTCTATCTCTCACCCTCCTTTTCTTTCATTTTTTCTTTTGCTTTTTCAAATTTCAAAACCACGGGTCCCACGACTTTAATAAAAGTCACGGATTCAATAGGTTGGAGATGGGCAACAACAACGCAACTTATGTGGACCAAAAGTAGCAAAAAGGAAGAAAAGATCGGCAATCCCTAAACTCTATTATATAAAATAAATTTTATTATAAAAATTGTTTAAAAATATAGGCCATCATGGGCCAGGCTTTACAAAATAGGCCTTCGGCCTGATTTTAAAAGAGGTTTTATAATTAGCCCAAGGCTGTTTTTTTGTTAAGTGGGCCGGGCCAGGCTAAACCAAAGATAGGCTGGGCCAGAGGCCCCTGACGGGTAGCCTAGCCCATTTACACCCCTATATGTGCCTTTCACCTATTGACATGTAGGTGTATATTGAGTTCAAACACAATGAGGTGTTCCTCACAAATTGTCAAACATGGCACCAAATACTATATCATACTATAAGAATCTCAAAATTAACATTGTGTATCCTGATAATAGCAAGTATCCATGAAAACAAAATAGGTGCAGTCATATAACAAGTAATATATGTGTGTTCAAATGCTCTCACTGGGTTGCTCACTGGAGCGAGCTGCTTCAGTGAGGAAGATCGGAGAGAAAATTATCAAGGGACTACTCGCTAAGTCGATGTAAAAACCCCACTTATTCCTAATTTTATCATATACTCTTATGCCTATGCATGTATGCGATCCTAAAGAAAATTTCAAAGTAAATGCATGAATCATTATATCTACATATAAAATTGCATGAACAGAATTTTAATTTAACATCAATTTCTTTCTTCTAAGGACAATCTAGGAACAATTAGAGGATTTGCATGTGTCAGTTAAGGAATGCTTTTGAATTTTACCATAGAGTAGACAAAGGAGTTCTATAATTTACCTGTTGAAGATCAATCACATCACAACCTTGGACTTCTTGATTCTCTATTTTTAGTTCTCCTTTGTAAATTGGCAGCAACTAGGTTCTATGTTGACCTTGTCCTTCCTTCTATAGTTGTCAAACTTGAAACCCTGAACAATCACTTCACACGCAAGTACAAGGATGAGTGAGGTAGGATTCTGCCTAGTTTGAAGAATGTAAGGAATGGGAAGCTAGAAGGCTGGTTGTGTGACTATTTAGTGAAGGGAGGAAGGTGACTGCGTGTGTATGAATTTGAAACAATAGGGAAGAAGATTGGTTTTTGTTTTTCCAACCAAAGAGAATAAAAAGCTATGAAGCATAAGAGAATGAGTGATACTGGGAAAGTGGAAGAGGTGTGTGGGTTTAATGCCTTTGTTTACTTGTTTTATATTGTTATATGAGTTTGATGTCTCTCATGTTGTAGGAGATAAAATTATCTTCAATACACATAAAAGTGTATGGGGCCATATATATATATATATATATATATATTTGAAAACTAATGGAATATAAAGATTACAACACACTACAAAAACGTGAGCTAGTAATGCCCATCACATCCCTACTTAACAAAAGATTGCATTCTTGAGGAGCGTTACTGCACACATGCAAATTCAAATCACAAAAGGAATAACAACAGTTTTCAGCTGACCAGCTACTATATTGTTCTCCCGTAAGTTTGGCTTATCTTTGTCACCCAATGACCTCTAAGTCTCTCCCTAATTCTGTTCACCAGAGAAGTTAGAGGGTGCTTTTTATCACAACCATTGTCTATGAGCATAATAACAACTTGGGAGTCACCTTATATCCGTAGCTTTCTAATACCCAAGGTCCTAGCAATCTCTATGCCATTAAGGAAACCCTATAATTCAGCTCCTGTTGATGACCACATCTCCAGATTTTTACAGAACCCCATAATCTAATTACCGAAAGAATCCCGAATAACTCCACTACAACTTGATCTTCTACCTTCGTCACAACTTGATCCATCTACGTTGACCCACCCATCCTCCGAAAAAATTCAGCATATAAGTCTCTCAATTTTATCTCTTATTTGCAACTCTTGCACGCCTAGAATCCTTTGCGCTTTGAGGACTTGAGAAATATAATCTTTGGCCCTTTTATGGTTGACTGTTGGTGAATGGGCTTATTCTCGAAAAAAAGCCTATTCCTAGTTTTCCATATGAACCAACAAATTGTACCAAACAATAAATTTCACTCATAATGCTGAATTTTCTCCTTACAATCATGGTTATGTTTTAGCCAAGTAGCTAAAGGTGCATGGAAAAAACTAGGCCAGCAACTCTCCACTCCCAACGTAATCCAAAGGTCCCTGCTCCAACTGCAATCCCTTAGAGCATGAATTACATCCTCATTTTCCTCATTGCTTTTGGGACATATACCAGTATCTGATAGGTGTCTTTGGTCTCTTTTCCAATGGTATGTAAATGATTGTTGAGAGCCATCCATAGAAACGTTTGGGACCTCTCCAAGTCCAAACTGTATTGGAGTCTATGTCCTCTATGTCCTCCACTCCCTCCCTGAGTAACTCATAAGCTGACTTTATAGTAAACTTTCCATCGTTCGTATGATTCCAAATAACAGTATCAGTCCCTTGATTATGGCAAGGAGGCATAATATTAGCCATCGCAGAACAAGTTTCTTGGTTTACAATTCGTTGCAGAATACTCCACTTTCATTTTTCCATCTGAATTTACCAAATTCTTCACCTTCTATTCTCAGATCTCATAAGATAAACTCACATTTTCTATCAGCTGCACCTTGCCAATTCGAGGCAGCCAATTATCGTTGTAGAAACTATTTTGAAGACCATTCCCTAACTGCACCCTTGAGCCTTGAACAACTTTAGGCCAAACTTTCATGATGTCTCTCCAA